ATATATAAATTGAATTTGGGGAAACTTTAATGGTGCTGCCAACTTTGGAAAAAGTCATCCCAATTTACTGTGTTGAGTTGGCATTGTACAGAAATGGACAGCCATACTGGTCTAGAAATGTTAATTTATTTTTATTTTTATTTTTTATTTTTTTTCCATGTATACAGGGGTAACACATCGTACTAAATATGTAAGGTCATACCTATGTGGATTTGATTACAGAAACTAATAAAGTATTCTCTAAATAATGAAAAAAAGAATAAGATAAGACTATAAGAGCGAGAAGCAATTTAAATATGTTCAGGGACCATTTTCAGCTCCAGAATTAAGGATTATTTTAATGTTACATCATTGCCTTTTCTCTTTTACTTTCCTTTTTAGTTTTATTTTAGGATTCCCTATTTTTAATGTTCATACAGAGATTTCTTTAACTGAAATACCAAATAGCTTCTTTGGTGTGAAAAACGATAATACTACACAGGATCCTAATGAGATAATTAATAATGTGAAATAGGAAGTAAAGGGCTAAAGGTGTAGGGCAAGTGGGAAGGGTGAGGGAAAGGTAATAAGGGAGAGTAAAAAAATATGAGAAACTGAAAAAATGGAAATAAAGTGTTTGTAAATGGGGAGGGGAGGAGGGGGTGAAGGGAGGGCAGGCACAAGGGGAAAAAATGAGAATCAAGACCTATTATGTAAAGGTACAGAATCCCAATGATGAAGATAACTGTTTTGTATACCTAGATTGTATCAATAAACTCAATAAAAAGAAAAAAAAAAGAATATAACTACTCCCCAAACATACAAACTATGACATTTTTGTTATAATTACTTGAATAGGAAGAAACGAAGAGAAAAGATAAAACCAAAGAGAATACATGATTAACTGAAAGAAGCCAGACGTGGTGGTGCATGCATGTAATCCCAGTACTCTGGGAAGCTAAAGCAGGGGGGTTACAAGTTCAAGCCCAGTCTGGGCAATTTAAAAACTTACTGAGAGACCGTCTCAAAATTAAAAAAAAATTTATGGCTGGGCATGTAGCTCAGTGCACAGGCCCTGGGTTCAATCCTGAGTACAGAAAAACTAATTAAAAGAAAAAGTATATTAATAACTATACTCAATTTAGCCCTTTTTCCTGAAAACAAAACACCCAGTACTGTATTTACTTATATATACAAAAACATAATTAATCTTATTCAAAAGAAAAATGTTCCTCTTCTGCAAGATTCATATTGAAACAGCAGCAAGAATCATTGAACCTTTTATATTATTATATCACTTCCAGAGTTGCGGATTCTGCCACTGACACCAACTAACACTTCTAAGCAGATACCAGGTGCTGGGCACTGCTTGAATGCTTTACAGTAAATGTATACTTTTAACTTCATTGCTTCAACAAATAAGGTAAGTGTTATTGTTATTTCCATTTCAAAAGAAAACTAACACTTTGACATTCTGAGATACACTACTAAAGGAACACAAAGAATATAGAGATCTCCACTCTCCTGTGTGACAGCTGCTAACTGGATATCCTGACACAACCTACAGAAGTGTATTTTAAATATTTATTCTTAAAATTAATTTCTGTGGACTTTTCTCCTATAATAATATTTAGGAAAGACAAAGAAAAAAGAATCATAGCAAGTTAATGGTGATTTAGTTTGATGATTAACTAAATGCTTTATGTTGACAAAATTGCAGCCTAGAAAAAAGAATGAGTAAAGATTACTTTCACACCTTTTAAAAGTGACCAAACATAGGAACCTAAATGTTCAACAAAAGATCTGACAAAAAGTTAATGTCATCATAATAGAAAATTATATAGGCATTAAAGTTATATATACAATTAACAGCTGGCAGATTATTAATTTGGTAGACATTCATGATACACGGTTGAATACATGGTACGTGAGTAATGACCTCAAGAAATTTCGGAAAGGTAGGGGCAGTGCTAGGGATGGGAGCTAGGGCCCAAGCATGCCAGGTACGAGCTATTAAGGGAATTGTATTTTCAAGTGCAATACAGTAATGTTATTTTCTTCTTTATAAAAGTGAATCACTTTACAAAAAATATGTGAAATAAAATCATAAAAATATGTAAAAGAAAACTAAGTGGTAAAAAATACCTTTTATTTATTATTTTTTAGTTAATGGAAAAAGGAATTTTCAGAACTTTCTTTTTCTGTAGAATGAATTTACACAATTCATGTTTTAGAAACATGCCATGCTATTTGCTATTTAATAAATATTCATGGATATAGTGGTTTAAATCTGATATCACATACCTGACATTGCTGACCAAGGAAGAGAGGAAATACTGGTTTTCTTCAGAAGTATTTTTTGACTGTTTAGGAAAAAATCTGTTATCTTCAGCAACTTGCAACACCACGCACTTTCCTATTTTTGATGATTTATATAATCGAAAGTTTCTGTTTCTTGTATAAACTCCTACATCAAAAATTAATTTTAAAAAATGAATTCATGTTCTGTGATTAGTTTAAATTGAGTGTATTATTAAATTTATTAAATTGACTAAAATCATTTATTAAATTTAAGTTATTTTGTATAGAATTATTAGAAGAAACAATTTTCTACATAGTTGTAAGTAAAATTATAACAATATATAAAATGAGATAAACTGGAGTTGATATGGAAGAATGCCACATTCAGAAACACCTAGGTAGATTGCTTTGGAACAACTGACTGAAAACAAAATGGTCAGGAAGGAAGCCCCTGCCCTACCATGTCTGCCACTATCGCAAAGCTCTTCAGTCAAGTAAATGCCCAGCCTTACTGTGCCACATAGGTAATGTTTTTACATTGTGTCTGTTTTAAAACTGATTTAATCTAAGTTAACTTCTTAGCTGTGTTGGAGGGTGCTGGTTCAACTGTCCCCAGACAAACCTCTCGACAAGAATCCTGTAGACATTTCCAGAACAGCCAGCCATAGGCACTCTCTTATGTTGCTCATGCCTGCCTGAGGCTTGCATTTCACAGGGATCATCCTAAGAACACTAAACAGAAGCCTAGGCAACTCCTGTCATCTGAGGTCATGGATACACTCTGCTGGTGACTTGCAATGTCACTGTGAAACAGTGAGAACAAGAACCCAAGCATCAGGACAAGCAGGGCACTGCCTGGTGTTTCACAAAATACACAGCACAGTTTAATAGAGACAGCTGTCAATGTTTCTTACCTAGATCCACAAAAAGATGCTTTTCTCCCATGTCACTCTTCACAACTAAAAATGAAAGATCAGGACTGCTTTGCTCAGCTGACCCCGGTCTCTCTGGTATCTTTGAATTCAAAGTCCGGCTCTTTACTGCATCCTTATCTGGAGATATTTGGTTAAAGGAAATTCCTTGTTTCAATGGTGTTTCAGGAAAATGGGAAAACTCATGATCCATTGGGTTTGGAATCCTATCATCACCTTCACTGGAAATTAAGTGAAGAGCAGGCTGCAAAATTTTTCTCACAAAATTACCTAAGGAAAAAAGGTATTATGATTCATTTTTCTTTTCAGCAAAGTATAACTTAAGATTGAGGCACAAATCTACACATGACAGTTTTACACAGTAAGGCATGTGGTTTTTTTTTCTTATTTTACAACCGAGTTGTTGCTAGAAACTAATGTGTCTGTTCTGCTATGTCCTTTTACTTTCTCAATCTTGGTGTCAGTCGTAAACAAATCATTTACCTAACATGCTGTCACCAACAGAACACCACTTTAACACAAATTAAGCAGAATTATCTTCACAATCTATAATTAATAAATGAAGGGTTTACATGAAGAAGCTGCTGCCAAGATAATGGGTGGAAATACTGGCAGCATCTTTGCTCTACCCTCCCAGGGTTGTTGGCAAACTTCTCCTGAGCTCATTCTCTCCCTTACCTGCCATGACAGGCCCCCAGAATTTTGACTTTCAGTTTCAAGGTTGCTTCTAACCGTACCTCTTGAATTATAGCCTCAGAACTAAGGTCCAGAAAAAAGGCAGTCAAATATATTTTGTCCCAACATTTAATGTCAGAATTCTGAGTAGCAGTGGTGCTACCTGCACTCTGAAAAGCTGGTGAGAACCTGGAACTACTTTAACCTCACATATACTATTTATGCCACACATTAAGTAATAATTTGGCTATTAAGTTCCTTCATGTATAAATAATACTGCAAAAATGCAATACTATCGAACTATAATAGTCTGAGTTTATCACTTTATTTACCAGAAAGGCTTCAGTCCTTAAATCAAAACAAACACATGCTAAATTCAAAATTCTCCAAATTAGACTTAATTATTTTTCTATTCAAAGAAACAAATCCAGTTTCTTTGAAGATCAAAATGAAAGCCAAAGCACTTGATCTTTGCAATGTGATTATTTCTGAAATGAGGTAGAGAAGGTAAACACTGAATGATAAGAAACCACAACATATCAAAGGATAATAAAGCAATAAATATAAATCAATAGAGTTAATTTTCCTGGAAACATCTAGTTGCAACTACTTGACGCTAAGCAATAAGTGAGTGCGTGATTGTAGAAAGGGCAGCAATGTCAGTGCCAGAAGGCCAGCAAGCCTTTGACCCCTGAAGGGAGCTAACAGGGCCAGGAGTGATGACCGTGGGCTAGCACAAACAGTAACACTGGTTCCTGCAAACTACTTTGTTTTTCTTCCCTGCTCTAATCTTGTCACTCCCATTCCCTTCGACAGAGGTACCTATTGGCTGGGAATAAATCAAAAGAACTAATCAAACATAGAAATTTCAGGTAGTATATAGCAAATGAGTTATTTTTACATATCAGATCCTAAGATCTGTTACATTTAACCTAATTCATCTTTCTGAGATGCTGACAATGGCAATCTGAACTGTCATCAAGAGATACACTGAGGGAGGGAAACTTAAGGGAATCTGGACTACTGTACTTCATAGTATCTGCTTCTGATTCTGGCAAATCATAACTTTAGAGAAATGAGCCTTAGATGACATCCCATTTAGCAGGTCTGATTATGTCTCTCACTTCAGCTACACCTACAGCAGACACCACTGCTCCCCCAAACAAACTCTCATTTCTATACTTTTGATTATGCTGTTTTCTCAGATAGTGAGAGCTTTCTTTACTTTGTCTGCATGATGAAATTTTATTTAAAGCCCAGACTGCTTTCAGAAAATACCTATAGGACAGACTGTTAGCTATTTGACAAATTTCTATTCTTCCCTCCTTCTTGAGCAACAGTCAATTTCTAGCCTTGCTATATATGCTAAGCTCTGGAATTATAATGGTTAAAAAAGAGAGAGAAAGAGAGAAAGCAAAACAAGAAACTGCCTCAGGAAGTGGCTAGTACTTTGACACAATATGCACTGGACACTGTCTGAAACCCAGAAGAACACTATACAAATCTTAGGGTTTTGGATGTGACAAAAACAGATTCTCAGATGACTTGAGATCTACAATGAATCTTAACTGACCAGGTGAATTGGAGGTATGTCTATTCAGGTAGTGTCAACAGAAAGCATAAAAGCTCAAGGACTAGAGAAAATGTACCCACATTAGGAGCTAAGCAAAGGCAGAGTGGAGAGATGAGGATGCAGCAGAATGAGCCTCATTTAAGAAGCTAAGACATCTGTGCTTTTACCTGAAGCCAAAGGATAGTAACTGAAGGGTCCAAGGCACATGAGTGGTGGGATCAGCTCACTTTAATTAGCCGACCAAACATGCAGATGGAGAGAAATACAGAGGTCAAACAGGACACCAACACTTCCACTGGAGTAACAGGCCGGATGGCGACACCACCCACTGATACACACTGCACAGGAGGAGTAAAGTTTGAGGAAACGATGAGGAGCCTGAGGTAGGCACACTAAGTTTGAAGCATCTGCGTGGACACGGCTAGTGGACAGTTGGCTGAATCTCACATTTAGAAGAACAATGTGGGTTGACTGAGCCATCAACAATGATGATAACTGAAGCCAAGAGAGCAAATGATTATCAAGGGTGAGGACAGAGTGAGAAGAGGGTTGGGGACAGAATCTACAATTACTAACATCTAAGTCATGAAAGAAGAGAGAAGGAGTGTCTAGCTAAGCTAACAGAAAAGAATAAGGAGCCCTGTGTATACAGCACACTGGGTCACAGAGTTTCCCCAGGTTCCTAACTCAGGCCGGTTCATTAGTGACCGTATTCATGCCCTTTATTCTATGAAACTGCAAGACACCTTGAGCTCTGAAACGGGTTGCGCATTACTGACCTTCAGTCAACTGTCTGCTGTTTAGATCTAGGAATGTATCTCACTCCAGCTTTGAAAACAGTTTTAGTTCTGGTTAGACCTTGGTGTTTGGCGTTTCCATTTTGCCTATTTGTTTCCCTCTGGTCTGACTTTATTTTATACTAAGCCCTCTATCTCTAAATGTCCAGTGCTGGCACAAATACTCAGGTTACACTATGCAGTAAGACCTTTTTCCAACCCTGAAATTCTGCATGGAACAAAAAACAACCTTGCTTGCTATGACATGGGATGCAAGCCCCAAAGATAAGGCCAATACAAGGCTGAAGCCAAGGTCAGAAATCTAGATATGTGGATCACAGGTAAGTTCTGAAATGAAAATTCCTCTCATGAATTATCCAGAAAATGAAATGAATCATACTGGAAACAGTACCAAATGTTTGCAGACATTCCAATACCTATGATGACAGGCATCAATGCCAAAGATATCTTGAGTAGGTTATCCTATCTCCAGCTAAGACCAAATTCTTTAAAAAAGAAAAATCACATCCCATTTTTTATGGCTAAGTTAGCATATATAAAAACTGATAACAAATTAAAAATAACTACAGAATTTAAGAAGAATAGGAAAAGAGTTTTTAATATAATGCCAGGAGTTTTTAAAAGGCAGTGTACTTACCAACATGAATGTTATCTTTAAATGCCACATCATGGAGTTGAAATATTAAATGGCGGCTAAATTTCTCATCAGTGCTAGAATCTAAGTTGAAAACATCTTCAGCTGAACAACTGACACTGTATAATTCTTGAAGTGCTTTACAAACATGCTACAAATACAAGTATAAATAACTTATGTTTTTGGTTTTAAATTTTTTCTAAGAACAAAATTAAATATCTTGGTACAAATAAATTTAACATAAAAAAGTAAAATTTTTTATTTACTCTCAGAATATTTACAGTATAACAATCTCATCAACTTTGAAATACATGTCACTTTTCAATTACTATACGTTTATGTTGAAAAAAAATAAGCTGTACTCTCAGGATTAAAGAAGCTTCTCAGAAGCCTTTTTTAAGCTGAGGAAACAAAAACATACACATTTATATACAATTTTCTACTGACACTAAAAGCCTACAAAGGTCAGCTGATTAAGTCCAAAGATTTCATTTTTGAGAAAAAAAGTTTTATAGAGGTAAAATCAGACAATTTTTATACAACCTGCTCTAAAGTCACAATAAAATACTTTAAGCATCTCTTTAAATATTACCTATGAGTTAAAAAGTCACTAATTCAATTTTTATAGTTTTTACTATAAGAAAATATCTCATTCATACTGAGCTCAAATCCCTATGAGCATATAACCCCTGGGGCTGCGAGACACTGATACTGACAGAAATTATGCATGGTTGAAAGGAAGGAAGCACACAGGCAGGACCCCAACATTTAGAGTCAGAGAGAGCTAAGTGTGACTTCTGGTTCTTCCATGTACCAGCTTTGTGACTGGTCAAATCTAAACCTTACATCCCTAACCTTCAAATTAATAAGAGCTCCTAACTGTTGGAGTTCTAAGCAACGAGAAAATGAAATTAAGGATTTAACACAACGCTGGGCACAGGTAACTGCTTAGAAGTCCTTGCTGTGCAGCCTTAAAATAAGCCATTTTTCCCTAAGTTTTCCATTTGAAAAATAAAGCTTTTAAAAGATACCATGTATAAGGGCTGTGACAAATACTCAGTGGCACCACGCCTGCCTCACAAATAAAAGGTCCTGAGTTCGATCCCCAGTACCACACACACACACACACACACACACACACAACCGTGCATAGTTATCTTGAGATCAGAAAAACATTTGTAAAAGTGTTTGCTTGCCACTTAGATACCAACTAGTTATTCAGTAAACTGCATTTGTTCACATTATTTGGGCATTATTAGAGTACCATACTCCCTTTCACAATCTGAGTTTACTTTTTTTCAGTAAGTTGTCATTTCCTCAAAATAACTTCCCATAATCTCCCCATTTATACCAAATTCCCCCTATATATATATTTTTTGTAGTACCTATATAGCTACAATTTTACACTAGTTTATGTAACTGTGTTGAAATCTGCTTCTCCTATATTACAGAGGGAATCTCCCAGTATCTGTTCTGTCCTTCTATAGAAAAAGAATCTGATTTTCAGCTAGATAAAAGGTCATCCAGAATAAATACTCCAGACTCCTTTGTGACCACGTGACTAAGTCTAGTAACTGGGTGTGCAAAGAAAGAAAGATTAGCACTTCTACGTTATACTCCTAACGGCAAGGGGCCTGTCTTCCCCTTCCCAATTTCCTACTGACTAGAATGTAGACACTGGTAGACCCATGTTGGATAATGTGACTAAGACAGCATCTTACATAGAACAAAGCAAGACAGTGTCTAATACAGTGTATCCAGTCAGATATTATTATACCTTACACTTACTACACTATACTTTTTGATAAAGTATAACTATGTACTCAGGAACAACAGAGAATAAATTTAGTAATTCTGGTAATATAAGCAATCATATTCTCCTAAATTCTCTTGCCCAAAGTAATTTTTAAATAAAACTTAGTTATATAACTAATTAAGTTGTAAAACCTAGAGGTTGTAAACACACAAGTACTTGAGCAATGTGACCTGACAAAATTCATCAGAACCAGAATTCATCCTAATTGGTAGAAATCAAGTCGCCCAATCAAAGGATACTATGATTATTGCCAGTTATTATTAACCAGTTATTTATTAACCATATTTTAAAGAGCTAACCTAATTTATACCTCCTCAAAGAATCAAAACAAAAAGTACTTACTAGATTAAACCTGCTACATACAAAGTAACCAAAAAATAAAATTGACAATATACTTATAAAAGCAGTGTATTAAGAAAGACAATCCTAAAATGAACTGTTATTTTGCCACAGTAAACATAATAAATCTCTGAATCTTAACTCCTTGTTGGTAGTCAATAAGGAACCTACATAAGAAATTCTGCTTTAGACTTTAGACTATTAAAAAAAAAAATCACCAGAAAAAAATTCAGTATTTTACATTAGAAACACAAATAAGGTTAAAAATTCAATACAATTTAACACATAAAGCATTTTTTAAATAAATGTGAAATAAAGCATTTCTAAAGAACTCAATGGCTATTTTAAGAAAAACCTAACTTACTTTTGTTTTAGGAATTGAGGGACTTTATATAAACTGCATTTCTTTTTCTTCAAGGCCAAGAAAAAGCTAACATCCTACATATTTTTAAAAGTACTTACAAATTATTTTTCAAATAAATTTGAAATAAATAATGGAATGGCCCAACATAATTAGCGGATATCCTTTACCAAAAGCATTTTAATTTGGAAATATTTTAAAAGTTATATTATCTTTATAAAATTATTTTTTGGTTACTAGCTCAAAGAAAATAGTTAACAAATGTTAATAACTACTCTGAAGCTAAATAATAGTATAATTTTAATACAACTTTATGCAATATAATCATAAAAGTTTTTTTTGAAATAATCCCAACAGAATAGTTATATAGTCTGTGGTATTTCTCTTTTTAATTTTTTTACTTGCAAGAATTAACATATTTTTTAATTAGGACATATTTATGATACATAATGGTTACATTCCCTGTGGAGAATTGGTACATTAACATAATACATCTTAACTCCTTTTTTCTCACTCCCTTTTCCTTCTCTCCTTTTCTCCTTCATCTATCTCTTGATCCACTTCTTCTTTTTTTAAACATATTTGGTTGACAAAGCTAAATTTTCTTTTCTTTTTTTTTTTTTTTTTGGTACCAGGGATCGAACTCGGGTCCTTGAGCTTGCAAGGCAGGCGGTGGAATCACTGAGCTAAATATCCGGCCCGACAAAGCTAAATTGAAGGTAAATATCAGAACACTCTTTTTGATTAGAAGAAAACAGGTACAATTATGTTTCTAGACTAGGTTTTGCCAATAAACAGCTTTAGGATGTGAATACACTGGTCTCTTCTAGGTCTTAATTTCTTCATTTATGAAAATATAAGATAAAATTATTTCCATGAAAATTCCTGCCAGTTTCAAAATACCAATGCTATTTTTAGTCAAAGTTTCCTTGTAGTTCATCCGTCTAACTGGCCTTTACTCAATCCAGCTATTTGTAATCAAAGTCAGAGAATATCTAAATTAAGAACACAAGAAGTCATCTTTCTCAAAGCATTTCTCATCAGCTATAATATTATAAAATATAAGCACTTAAACTTTTTTTTTTTGAGACAGGGCCTTGCTATCTAGTCCAGGCTGGTCTTGAACTCACTTTGTGGCACAGGCTAGCCTTGCACTTGCAGTAATCCTCCTGCCTCAGCCTCCCAGTGCTGGAATTACAGGCATGTGCCACCATATCTGGCTGAACTGTCATTTCTTTTCAGTTCACTCATAGAAATGATATTAAAAATGAAAGTCATTAAGAGTAGCCAAAAAAAGGAAAAATATGGAAACTATATATGACATAGACTTCATTTACTGAATGAATGAATAAGTGAATGAAAAGATGAAGGGAAAAATACAAGAAAAAAACTTGAGTCTGTCATTTACCTCTATGAGTAACACAACCATTTTTTTCCCATCAGCTTCAGGATTGGCATGTTTGTTGAATTCCAAATCAAAATAAAGTTTGCACACAGCATTTTCAGGAATGACTTCATAGCAGTGCAAGAGATGTTTCCTAAAAAGAACAATTTGAGTGTCATATTAAAATCAAGGGAGTTGATCTTAGATCTGAAGTTAATACTAACTGTGCTTTAACTACATATAACTATGAAGAATAATATTCTCAGGTCTATGGTTCATAGCATCAAGAGTTTCCATCAAAGGAGATGTAACAATCATATTCTATAATAGTATTTAACTGGAAAATAAGTTCAATCCTATGGAGTTAATTTACACACACGATTTTGATATTGTGTAATTCCTTTATTTGCTTTTAGTGTCATCATCAAAGAAATTTTGTTTGAGAAAATGATTTTTCTCAAACTAGGATGCTGGGTGCACAAATTCTTGGGCTTATATAAGATGTCCATGAGAATTTTAAAACTTTGTATTTTCATTAGGAAGATGATTTTTTTTTTTTTTGGTACCGGGGATTGAACTTGGGTCCCTGCGCTTGCAAGGCAGGCAGAACCACTGAGCTAAATCCTTGGCCCAGAAGATGATTTTTTAATTCACAAAAACATAAATGAATGAATGAATAAAAAAATTCTGAATCATTTGACTTCAGTAAGCTTTTCATGCTCACAACTGCAGTTGGCAGACATTCTTGCTGGCACAGGCAGAATGACTGACATGGGTTAGGAATATGTGTTGACTCAAAATGTAAAAGATAATTTAGACTAAGTAAAAGCTCAGATGGCAACATTTGTGGTAATAAGAAAAAATGATGGAGACTGCATCATCATGTGACACAGGTTGTACAGGGAACTCGAAACACACAAGTACACACACACAGGTGCACAAATGTACTCTGTAACAGTAAGTACCGTATTTACGCTGCAATATGGGATTGAGTTTCAGACAGACATCATTTGTCACATTATCCTAAGAATTTAAATTCGCTTCTAAATAGTGTTCCATGTATATAATGGAAGTATTTTAAGTTAATACAGGGCATCCATATTAATTTATTCCACTTTTCTATATGTTACTCAGGTCTGAAGAGTAAACCACTCAGATAAAGCAGATATTCCCTCATTAGATAATTTGCAAGTATTCATTTGTAATTAACAGTACAAATGAATATTTTCTTGCAAAAGAGAAACTTTAACATTTGTTTGTAAAGGAGAAACAAAATTCCCTTTGGGTACACAAATTTGTGTGCGTGTGTGTGTGGGTGAAGAGTGAGGTTTTTTTTAATCTAGCACCTGGTGATAAAACAAAAACAAAACAAAACAAAACAAAAAAACCTCCAGAACTCAATTTTAATAGTGAAGAATAAATTATTAGGTGGTCAAGTACTATGAGTGACACTCAGACTAAATTAGTTTCATCAAAAGTATTAGACAGAGGACCTGCAACTTCAGTTTAATGAGCTATATTCTCTTACAACCTACTTACCTGGATTTATAGTAAAACCAAAGTTGAGCATAGGTTGTTACAAGATAAATACGTTGTCCATCTCCCACTTTGCATTCCAAAGCAAACACGTGTACATTCTATATAAGAAAAACACTATTCAAAAATACATCTAAATTCAACTGTAACCATTCATTCATAAAGATTTCACCAGTCAAGTTTCGTAAACCAGCATATGAATAATTGTATTAGTAAAAACAATCACATCTGTCACTCAAAATCTATATTTATTTTTAATCATTCACATAATACATGTACAAGATGGAAACAACATATTCAGTTCAAAAGGGGAAAAACATTCTCTGACTCTAGTTTAATCTGAGTTTTATTTATTTTATGAAATTAAACTTATTTTACAAAATGGCCTAAATATTGCTATAAATAATTTGAGCTAAAATGAATAAATTCTGTAGTACACATAAAAATGTAAATGTTTTAAAGGTGACTATGGTACTCAATTAGATAGAACTGTTCATGGTTGCTGCCATAAAGAGATTCCTTTACTAAAGGAATATGTACACGTACTCTTTGTTTCCATTTAGCTAAACTATTGAGCCTTTTTTCATTTTGATGAGTGAGACGTCACAGGACTCAACTGTTTGACCCTGTTAAAAATCTTTTTCAAATAAATGCTGTAGATCAGTGATTGGTAAGTTTAGCAAGCACACTTCTATATCTTTTCTTTTTTAACACATTCCTGACTGCTTGAATTGCAGGTGCTACATGCATGATTATACCATGGGCAGCATGAGACAGTCATACATGTACCACTGGTGGCTCAGAGCCATCCAGCAGCAAGACATACAAATTATGGCCCCGTTGTGAACATGTTAAATTCAAGTTCAAATGAATCTGTCAGTACTTTAATTTCTGATACCAAACAGGTTTACAAAAATAGATTCTGATACCAAATAGATTTATAAGTTTCATGTGTGAAACTTATAGGTTGAATTATTCTGGTAAGTTTTGAGTGAGCATCTCTTTAATAGGGAAACTGTCCCTCTCCCCAAATTTGAGCACTTTTAGCTTCTACATAACATGAATGGCCAAGAATCCAATACCTTCAAGTTAGATTTCCTATGTGCATCTTATCTTTTTATGTTTTTATATTTCCCACACTGCCCAAGAAACAAAAGGCATGAAACAGACATGTATTGGTAATTTATTAATATTTTGAGCACCATGCTCTTTGTAAGGCTGGCAGGTAGCAAGCAAGTCTTCCAATGTGCTTAATGTGCTAGCAATAAATATACGTACCTTCCCTCTAAGCATAACTTCACTTAAAGGTCATTATAAATATTTTAAATTAACTGGAACTAGATATGCCATTCTTTTTAATTACTGATATAAATCAAATGGTTAACAATTCCAAGGAATAGTTTTCCTAAATTATGTCACATTAAGATGGCTATTAAATTCTTTTGGTAGAGTATACAGTATGAAATGAAGATAAGTAATAGATTTTTTAAAAAAGCTTGAGTGATAATGGATAGTAGCTCTAAAAAAAAAAGACAATTACCTCTTTACAGCTTTTAACAAAATGAAAAGCTTGATTCTGTCGATGAAATAGCTTCCATATGGAGGGTGGGTCTTCTGGCTTGGACAATCTTGGTCTATACGCCACAGACAATGGTTTCCTCTCATAGCAAGATGCTCGGTCTTCAATTTGCTTCAGTTTTGCTTCCCATTTTCCCGTCATGGGTTCAGAAGCATGGGGAGAATAAATTCTACCCTATGTAAGTTTCTATCAATTCCTAAAACAAACAAACAGGCCATCAATTTATTTGTTTAGAATGTTTTGTTTGATAAAATTTGAAAACTCATTTCTTGATATTTATGTTTTTATTTGCTTTATGTTTTATTCCTTACACAGACTTTTACCACAAAACAGGCTGGTTATCAGAAACCGTTGGACCCTGGCTCTTACATTTACTAGTGTTATAACCATAGAAAGGCTAATGAAACTCTCTGAATCTTTGTTTAATCAACTGCAAAATAAGAATTAATAGCATCATGAATATTTTATGTAGTGCCTTGAGGATAAATGTGATAATGCATATGAAAATGTTTTATAAATTCTAAAGCCTAATGTAAATACTAATGTAAGTACTTTTTATGGCTTTTATTATAACCATCTTATTGTATGAAGTGCTGCTTAGCTGATTCAGATGATGCTATCACCTTGGCCACCCAAGTCTTTTTTGCTTTGTTTCTGCTTTTATTTTGAAACAAGATCAATCTTGTTAAGTTGCCCAGACTAGAATTTGTAATCTTTGTCTCGGCCTCTCAGAATGTTGAGATCACAGACTATCATTCTTAGTGCAGAGTTTACTTTGAGGCCCCTGTGTAGAGCTTTTAGTTCCCTTTTTCTCTTTCTTCTCTTTTCTTTCTTTATTTTTTATGTACTAGACTGAACCCAGGGACTCATACACACTAGCCAAGGACTCTCTCACTGAACTATATACCTCTAGCCCTTTTACAATTTTGATTCAAGGTCTCATAAAGTTAGCAGACTGGCCTTACACTTGAAATCCTCCCACCTTAATCTCCCAGGAAGCTGTAATACTGGTGTGTATCCCTAAACCTGGCTTTTTCCCTTTATTTCTGATGTCCATTTCTCCTTTCCCAACACAACTTTTGGTAGGAAAGATAATTCCCCTCTAAGCATAATTTCACTTAAGTGTAATTATAAAAAATTTTTTTTGCCATTTTTACCAAGAGATGCCATCTAGTAGGGCTGGGAATTTAGCTCTGTGGTTCTGCCACAAGGTACCAAAAATAAAATAAAATAAAATAAAAAAGATGCCATCTAAACTCAATCCCATACCAACTTTGGGTTTAACCATGTGACTTGCTTGGGCCAATATTACATCAAAAAAGTAAAAGAAGCAGGAATTTAGTAGGTACTTCTATATCCAATTTGACTATCTTGGAGTTCTACCCTGAGAGTGTCATGCTAGAAATTTAATCTCCTAGCCGGGTGTGGTGGCACACGCCTGTAATCCCAGCACTTGGGAGGCTGAGGCAGGAGGATCACTATGAGTTCGAGACCAGCCTGGGCTACATAGTGAGTTCCAGAGCAATCTCAACTACATAGTGAGATCCTGTATCAAAAAATAAAAACAAGGGAGGGCAGGGACAAGGGGAAAAAAGGAGAACCAAGATCTGTCATGTAAAGGTACAAGATCCCAATGATGAATGTTACTGTACTATATACCTAAAATGTACCAATAAACTCAATGGGAGAGAGAAAAAAAAAAA